ATGAGGTGCTTTCGGCCAATGTAGGAGTGCCCAGGTGAAGAGATTGCATTGATTTCAACCCAACAAATCTAGCAGACTAATGAGGTGCACTGTCACAGCTTATTTAAGTAGGCTTGGCTTGAAGAGAACACCACTTTTAAAGACAAAGAATAAATGGTTGTGGAAATGCTTGGTGACTGTTACAATATTGCTTGCTTTGTGGCCACACACACAAAAAGGTGTTTTCTTCCTGAGCTGTGTTTTGATAGGAGTGTCTTAAGCTTCCCCGTGAAGCAGCTAAACGCAAGGCTGGTGTCAGTCTCCTGCATGCCACGAGGCATGTTTAGCTGGATAATACACCATCAAGATGGAAACATAATCGGGCTGCTTTGGTATCCTCCACTTGCCGGCTTGTTTTGCTCGAGAATCCAGTAAAGCCGTAGGCCCTGCTGTTAATTGTCAGGGCTTTCAGGGCTCCTGGCATATGCATGCATAATGCATACGTGGCATGCAGGCAAACACTGGGAGACCGGGTTCAGAGTAGGGGATTTCAGTAAGACTAATAGGTTTAAAGAAATCGCATTTTTTTTTTTCTCTTTGAAATAATTGGTATGTTTCTTTCATTTTCAGCCTCCCCCTCCCTCCCCCCAATGTCTGTCAGTTTTTGCCTAGCACAGTGCACTTTATACTGTAGGTCTCACTGCCCAGGTAACTGCTGTTTTCTCTTTCCCCTTCTGTATTTCCCACTGGCTTTGTCATGTGTAGGTATAGAGGTTTTATGAACACCTGTTTTACATTGGGGCTTTATTGGTTTTATTCATTTTTGCTTGTCTTTTAAGAAAAAGCCTGCAAGCCTGAAAAATATATGGAGTTCCAGTAGGCTTCACAGTGGATATATTCCAGCTTTCCAGAGCTGGAATATAGCTGTCAGCTTTTGGGATAGGGTCTCTCTTTGCCCCAGACCGCCTCTCATGGCAGTGCGGGCAGTGCATTTTGTTTTACTTACGAAAAGCAGACCAGCTTATAGGGGGGAGATTGAGTTTTACACAAGCAACTGCATTTGCTTGCAACCTCTTCCAGTCAGAGCTGGGGTAATGTTAGCCTTGAGGATTTGCCTTAACTGGGTTTTATTGTGTAGTTGCTCTGGTAACAGCAAGTCTTATACCTTTATTAAAGGAAGCAGGGATATTTTATTTTAGTCTCTAGACTCCAATCAAAGGGAAGTTTTGAGGGTTTTTTTCTACCACAGTTTTTGCTGTTAACAGAAAATTTACACTTGCTCTGCAGAGCAGTTACCTTCTTTTGGACTAAAAAGGGTGATTTTTTTTCTTCTTTTTCACCTTAAAAATCTTTCTTTCACCCCTTCTTTTTTTAACTTTGGAAAACAAGGATCAGAACTTGCAGGAACACTTGGTGTCCCTATTCTAAATAAAAAACCTGGGCTTTTAACACCATTTTTAAAAATGGGGAAAATGTTTACGGGAAACATGGAAGTCAAGAAGAACTAAATCTTCTTAAAAACCCTGCATGCACTCAGTGCCCCACTGCTTTATCAGCTGCAGTTCTGAAGTCCACTCCAAGGTTGTTCAAGACTATTTTGGAAGTAGGTTTTGCAGTTACAGGGTGCCTGTTGGGAAAGTTTGCCTTACAACCACTGTGCATTTTCTGTGCCCAAATGCTGAGTTACCTTGGGCCAGTGTTTGAGGTGGTCTCTGGTCAGCTCAAACCCTTTATTGTAAAGGCTTTTAAAATAACTTTATTTACTTTTTTTAGAAAGAGGATGGGAACCTGGTAATGACACAAATAATGCAGTTGTAGAGAACAACTCTTCTCTACAAAGGGATCCTGCCTTTGGTTTTGGGAGCTTCTCTGTACATGTTGTTGTGGCATCCTAGTACCCCATTTCTAATAGCCTTGGTTTGCTGTATCCATCCCGAGTGTTTCTTTTCTCTGCTTCAGTTGAAATCCCACTTCTTACCCAGTTTCTAATAGGAAAAATCTATAAAACTCCCTCAGAGGACCTACTGTTTCATCTGGGTTCAGAACCAGTTGACATCCCATCTGCTAGGGACTGGTGTCTAAGGATGTGAGAGAGAACTTGGTGGGAAAACCTATTTTGGTGTTAATGGATTAGGAGTTACTAAAGTCTTGGTTATTGCTTTACTTCCAGTTTCATTTGTTCTGGAGTATCAAAACCAGAATGCTCAAATTAAGTATTCATTATTGTATTTTGTTTTTCTTGCAGGGAAGTTACCCAGTGTGGGAAGATTTTATAAATAAAGCTGGGAAACTGCAGTCTCAGCTTCGGTAAGTTTTGTGTTACACAGTCGAGATCCCCCACAGTTCCTTCTATGTACAAACAGTAAGATTAAATGCAGCTTCTGCCAGGATAATTTGCTAAGCATGTCCTAGTAAAACTGCATATTTCAGAGTCAACACCCATGCATGTAATTTTTCACATACTACTACTGCTGTTTTCATGTATTTAGGAAAATACATTGTCTACCACAGGCTGTACGTAATAAACATAAAATAAGTTAAATTTCATGGCTTCTTTGGGGAAATTGGAACAACAGTTTGTTGTTGTTTAGCAAACACACATTTGGAGGTAGCCTTATGTTGTCCTTTTTATTACCGTAGAATGCAGTATATTAGAAGAGGGCTCAAAATGTTAAGTGTCTTAACCCTTAACAGCGCTTTTTCTGCCTTAAAGATGAAGGGACTTCCTGTACTGGATCACTTATCGGTGATTATTAAAACTTAGGTTATTGGGGTATACTTTGCAAATGGCATTGTGCATTACTTAAGTGCCAGAAGTAGCACATTCAGACCAATTCTATCTCTAGAATTCATTCACTTGTAAGATTTGTCTTTGCTGATACAAATCCAAGCTCCATTTCTTCACAACTCTCCCTGAAGCCACAGTCTCTGCTGTGCTCTCCAGAGCATCATTGTTGTTTTTCGCAGCAGTAGTAGCAGGTACAACCAGTTCTTGGCAATCTGCTTTGTGGCTCAGTGTTGTGAGCCATTCCTGAAGAAGCTGGAATTTAGGCTTATTTGCCCTAAACAGCTGGAATGTGCTGTTCTGCCACACCATGCCTCAAATACCACACTTGAGTGTGTGTTTTTTCCAGCAGTCATGTCACATTGTGGAAGAAGCAGAGGAAGTAGAGAAAGAAGAGAAATGGAGAACTTTCCTAACCCTGGGTGCTCTTTAAACACAGGCCTTCTGGGAAGGCATGAGGGATAGTTTTGTTTATTTCCCAGTCCTGTGGTGTTGCATTCAATCAATGTAGTGCTTTTTCTAGCTACAGGAACGTGCAACCAGGCAGCCTGAAAGCCTCTTTGAGGATATGCTGTTCATTTCTAGCAAATGTTAGCCTTTTGCCTCCGTTTCACTTTTGTGTGCTCTGATAAAGCAGCGCAGATGTCATCTGAGCTGGAGCCAGGTCTTCCTGGATCTTGTTACTGGTGAAATGGAACTTTGTTATTAGCAATAGAATTAATAATTAACAATGTGGTACACAAATAACAGCATGACCCACAAGTTTGGAAGATGAACACAAACACTGTTAAGCAAAATGCCAGGAAAGGTTATCTGGTTCCAAGGCTCAATATTTCTGGCTAGCTGTTGGGGGTGGTTTTGCCCTCCCTTTAATCTCTTGGGCATGTGGAGAGACCTTATGCATTCGGTTGGTCCTCTCAAGCCTGTGTTTTTTTGTGTTCAAATCTTTTGTGCTGTCACTAGGCCATTTACTACGTTGCCAGTTATGTCGTCTGTATCTTGAGCATACTTGGAGTGAGGCTTGAATAAAATCTGACCTAATTAAGCAGTCCTGTGGTCTTCCTGGCTGAGGATCAGACTTCCTGCAGCTCTCCTGGGGTTTTTTGAGGGCAGCAAGGAGCTCTTTGAAACAAAGTGAGGTTGATGGTCCTCCTTCAGGATTTTGCTTGGAGAGGCTGACTGATGCTGTCAGGAGAGGAAATCAGTTACTGTTAGAAAAGATGTGCAACTGTGGAGAGGGCAGAGTTGCACTTTACCTGTAGAGCCCTGGCCTACTTTTCTTTAAACTGGGTCAGGCATATTCTAAACCATCAGAAATCTGGTACTGACCTGAGGTGTTCAGGGCTCTAGGGCCTGCTTATGTAGAACAAACGTGTTTGGAAAACTGTGCCTCACGTTTGCTGTCCACTTGAACAGATTCTGTGTGCGGTCTGAATTTGGTTTCCTAACCTGGAGGGAGATGGGACTAGTGGATGTACTAGTTGGTGTACTTCCTGGGAAGAGAGGAGGCTCCTCCTGCTTGGAGGAGCACTGGATTGGAAAGGGGTTTTGTTTGTTTGTGGTGGTGTTTGGTGTTCTTTTACCCCTGAAGTGGAGATCTTTGTTCTTTTCCCTCTTTTCCATTTCCAAATGGAAAGTCTGATTTCCAAAAAGTTGCTATTTCTATTTCATGCTGCTCAGATGAGAAATTCAGGAAAGTATTTGGCCAGCATCCTAGACAAAAGGAAAGTCCTGAATGCTTATTCTTAAAATACACATGCTCCGTGGAAAATAGCAGTGGCTGTAATTTGTACACTAATGGCTGCAGTATAATGCACGTTATATTTGTTTTTCATGTTTGACTGCTTAATATTAGTTCATCAGAGGAAATCAGCTAGAAGGGGGATGTGCTCTTTTGAAACAGCACCTGTCCTATGCCATTCGAAGTACAGAATTAGCGTGGCTGCCTCCAAGTCCATAGTGCTAACACAAAGCGAGGAAGGGATTAAGAAGTGAAGGAGGAAAAAGGCTAAATTCAGCTATAAAAGAGGATATTTTTTTGTGGCCTCTGCAAGTTCACAGTGGTATTCTTTATAAGCTTAAATGTTTTTGGCAATAATTAAATAGGCAGCAATGAGACACTGCTAATGTTTTGTTATCTGTATGCATTTCAGGACTACAGTAGTAGCAGCTGCGGCCTTTTTGGATGCCTTTCAGAAAGTGGCTGACATGGCTACTAATACACGTGGTAAGCAGATGTGTCAATATTGAGTTTAACAGAATGCTGTGTGGTTTATACCATTTGTTGTCATAAAAAAAGTCTAACTTGCTACATTGACAAGCAGATCTGAGAGACATCTGTTAGATGGACTTGCACTTTGGAAAAGCAGCACGTGAAAAAGGAAGTAGTCTTTACTGAAAAAAAATGCTGGAAACCTGTAATTTAAATGTGTCATTAATCATGTGAACACTTCTTAATTACCATTTGAATTCTGTGTTGATGAATAATATTTTTGAAAGCAAGATTTTCTGAAATGATGCTTCTGTACCTTACGTGAATGTAAAAGGCTTGATATTCATCTGGTATAGATAAGTGTGGGGTTGCTGAAGACAGCTGATGGTGTGGCCTTTGGGGTCTGCAGATAATGATGACAGTAGCCTGTGCTTCCATCTTTGAGGAAAGCCTTTGCTCATCCCTCCTCTTAAGTCTGACGTTACCGATCAAGATCAATTTTCCTGGGCTGTGGGCTTCTCTGGGTAACAGTCTAAGCTCGTTGGTGAGTATGGAGGCCAAAAGAGTGCAGCTGGCAATCTTTCCAGGCTGCTGAGTTGGAAGGGAACAAAAGGCTACTTCTCTCTGATGTTGGATGAGCAATGACCAAGGCATTGCGTGCAGATGTCCCTGCCGCAATAGGGCATTCCCCATGGTCATTGCATCTCTGGGCTCTGTTACTGAAGAGTAAATCCAAAGTGCATATATCAATGCTGAGTGAGCGGCTTTTGGGCACCTCTAATCTTAGAGGTTTTGTAACATTTTTTTGAAGTCCTAAAGTGTCCTTGTTGCTTGACTTGAGAGTAAGGCAGTAATATTGCTAATATGAAGAGTGTGCATTTCCATTAGCAGCATGCAAGCTCAGCCAGATTTCTGTTTCCCTCCATTTCTGGCTGGTGGGAGTAGCAGCAGCTGCTGCAGCAAGTATCTAGCCATAGAATGACAAGAAGGAAGAGTTTTAGGTTTTATTTCTTTGTAAAGCTAATATTTCCATTTTGTTAAGAATTTCCTAATTATACGCATACCTTCTGTATATTATGGGTAGGCTACTCACATAAAATAATAAACCCTCCAGAAAGTGGAATAAGCTAAGGATGAGACCCAAGGCAGAACTCGGCTTGGGTTTCTTACGTGTCTTTCCTTCGAGCATGCTGTCTTCTATTTCTTCTCCCATCCCCAAAGGGAAAACAAAGTAAACCCTATGAAAATCCTTGAGACTTGTCTTCTGGCTGTGCTGGCAGGCTTATAGAACTTGCATTCAGATACCAGAACAACTAAAACTCTCCTACTCTCAAACAAAAATGACTTGTGCGGGTTTTTGAAGGGTATTTTGCACTTTCTGCTGTGTTATTTGGACCGAGTCCAACAGGCATCGTGTCTTGTCTCTTATCTCTTCGAACACATCCTTTACAAAAGCAGCTCTGTAAAGCCAAGCCTGCCAAATTTGTATAGCTCTTCTGTTCCGTCTTTCTGCCTTCCCTGGCTGAAAGAATAGAAGGGAATTTTGGTTTTATTTTTAGGAAGTGATGTTCTAGGCAAAGAATCAAAACTCCAAGCTAGTTGGTGGTTCTGCTCTGCCTCCCAACTTCCACTTGTGCCCATTTGGATATTTACATCTAAGTAGTCTATTGCCTTGGAGCATCTCTGAGGTTGCACAGCGGTCCTTTAACAAAGACAAGTCCTCCTAGCTTGCTGTGGACAGGGATAAAGGACTGACCCCATGGAAGATGATGGCAAAACTCCCCATGAGTTTCTAGGGCACAATTTCATATAAACTTTTTTGCTGTTTGTATAAACAGCTATATTCAGAAAACAAAACACAAACAAATCTAGTGTTGCTCTTCTCTGATGTGGGGATTTTAATGGGCTTCCAGTACTTCCTTTGAGGAGTTACTTAACTTGGAACAATTATTTATTAAACTTGGCCTGTTACTTACCCAGTTTATAAAACCATGGATTGGATTGTCAAATGCTTGGCTGCACTTCTCACTGTTTAGAGGGTTCTCAGTGAAGAGACTAACCAAATTCAGTAGTTCATGTTCAACCTCTGGGGGTATACAAGACTTTTTTAGTACCTTCCATGACAAAGGCAGGGAGGGTTAGTGTGTTTTAAATTGTAAAGGACGATTTATCGTTGTATGAGCCAAAAGCTTCTTCTGGGAACTGTGTATAAAAGTGCTGAAGCAGATGCCTGTTCCGGAGGGACGGTGTTAGTTCCCTATAGGATGGCTGGAGTGTGGAGAAGCTGGATGCTACATTTTATTTGTAATTGCTTATAGTTTTCCAGAAAGTGAATTGTTATTTTAAGACTCGCTGATCTAGCTGATGACAGTGTTTTATCAGTCAGCAGAAGCACTTTCTGGCTACTCTTTAATCTGTTCGCATCAGCATTAGCTTTGAAAGAAGAAAAAGTGTTTACATGGATATACATGTCCACACACACACACACAAGAAGAGATCATTACCTTCGCAGGCACTATGTGTTCAAGTTTGAGAGCTTATTTTCATCAACTCCAGTCCTTGTTCCAGCTGATGTCTTGCTCTGCCTCCTGTGCCATTACTGCTGTTCCTAAACAGTGGCTTTTCCCTTTGGTGCATCTTTCTTTTTGACATTCACTTCCTTCTAGTTCTGAAATGGTACTGATGTTTATGACCAAATTCCCATTTGGAGCTCAGGTAGAAGACATAACTTGAGCTCTGCCAATGGTAAAGCCTTTGTTTTTGATGACTTGCATTTGATTGAATTTGATGACTTGCACTTTGCTGCATTTTCTTCATGTTGTAGCTTTTGAAGTGGCAAAAGCTCTAAATGTGAAGTACCTGGAGTTTTGTGGTGACTCAATACACTAATTTCATGGCCAGCTCATTTCAGCTTTTGCTTTATTGTCTCTCCATTTAGATGTGTATCAACCCACAGTTAAATCTCTCTTTCTCCCTGAGCTCAGTTCCCTCAGTTCAGTGCTTTTTGATTTCAGCCTGACAAGGAGAAACATGGTGGCAGGGGGTGCGTGTGTGAAGTTCTGATGCATCTGTCTCCAAAAGGTTTTATTTCTGTGTGTCTGCTCACCTGAAAAGCATCATTTGAATGGAGGGCTGTCAAGTTATGTTGGTGAACTTCTAATATTGCTAGCTGTATAGCAGTGTGCGCTGGTTTCTGCTGGTACCAGAGATCTTTACAAACAAAATTCCTTCAGATGTTTTGACTTTTGAGCTCTAACAAGATACATACATCTATCTAGCAGTTTGTATTATTCAAGCTATGTCTGTTTGGCATACAGCCTGGCAGGACCCCATAGTCTTCAGTGGAATCTGATGTTATTTCTCACTACGATTATTAAAGAGAATACTCACAAAATATTAAATTAGATACTTCAGGATACCTTTAAACTCCAGTGAAGTTTCCTGTAGGGGAGATATGTGTTTGTGAGGTTTAGTTCAGATTTTCCTCATATGGTTTAAGTCTTTGAATACCTGAAATTTTGAATGTTTTTATCCTCATCAATTCTAACTGAAGCATGAAAGAGATTTAAGTCATTTGATAGCTCTTTACCTAGTATTCTGTGCATTAAAAATTCATTTGCTTATGAAAACAAGAACTGTGCATCCCAAATAGAAATATATATCACATATAAGCATGTTATAAGTTGGGTTTGAACAGTATGTAAAAGGACATATGTAAATTGCTTTGCTTTTTGTATGCTAATATTCTTCTGCCTCCACTGCATTTGAATGTCCTTTGTAGATAAGTGCTAGAATTCAGGAACTTGAAACAAGTAGGTGAGAAGAGTAACTATTCTGCTTGTGTAATGATGAAGATTAATGTGAAGACATGCATGCTTCTTCTACATCTGCTTAATACACCATCAGTGGCTTCTGGAAAAAAACCTGCCCCTGTATTGCCTACCTGCATCTTACAGGTGTAAATTAAAACTTAGAGAAAGGTGATCTAAGAGCTTTGATTTACCCTGAAGCTTAAAATTGATCTTCAAAGTGAGGTGGTTAATGAGGCAGGTGATACCCAGGCTTGTGGGTTTTTTGTTTTTTCCTTCATATGGAAGGATTTTACATATACATAGGTGTGTTTTGGTATTAGCAGCTTAGTTAAATCACTTCAAGATACATTTCAATGTATCACGGAGCTTTCTCTGGCAAGTTGAATTCCACATATTGAAATGCTGTTTGAAGTCGCCTTGTTTCAACTTGGCAAGCGCTACTAAAGGTATGTTTTCCCTGCCTTTGGTAATTTTGATGTCTCTGATTGCTGGTTGGTCTATTTACGTTTTCTACCTTTCATTTTACAGATCTCTGAGAGGACTTTAAGGTACTGCAGAGCCACTTACAGGAGTTGCAGGAAATACCAGTTGAGGGTGCTAGGTGGGAAGAAGGGGTCTGAGGTTGGGCAGGAAAGAGCTGTTTGATGGTCAACCAGCTACAGAGGGACCTGAAAACAGACCCGAAAGCAAAACTCGGCCTGAGCCTGCCTGCCATGTAGCAGTGATAGGGTAGCAAAAAGCCAGCATAGCCATTTTAATGTTACCCTTTTGAGGAGCAGGATAGATGAGCCTAGAAGTGCTGCACTGAAGTGTCTGTACTTCTTTCAGGCCCCATTAAACTTTATCAGTGTGCAGAAATGTAAATATGGTTTAACACTTTTACTTACAAAATTAAATCTGATTAATATCTGTGTCTGCCTGGGGTAGCTCTTGTACTGCAGTGTTCAGTGACTGCTCTTTGTGTTTAATAAAGCTGCTTAAAATAGTACCTTTGCTGCAGATCTGTGTTCCTGGGCAGACCCTGCATCCATGTTGCTCCAGGTATTATGTGAGTGCATCTTCGGGTAGTCCTTACTCCATTGTTCTCTTAGCCAGCCATACTATGTAAATAGTATGTATTGAAGTGGTTTTCCAAGGTGACAAGCTGCACAAAGTGTTGCAGTGCTGGAATTAGCATCTTATCTTTCCAAGTAAGTGTGCTTAGGCCTTCTGAACTGGTATCTTGCTCTCTGCAAATAAGCCACAGTGTGACCCTGGGGAGAAATCCTTGGTGCCGTAGCAAAATGTTACAGACAGCACTGAAAGGTGGCTTCCCTCCACCCCAGAAGAAATGAAAAAGGGAGCCTGGAGATGGAAAAGACTCCACAATCTATAGCAGTAGACTTAAAATCTGTATTAACATTTTGGAAATAAAGTCCTGTGCTCCTGGCTATGGACTGGGGAGCTGTGATGAGCATCTGTGCATAATTTCAGAGTGAAAAGAGAGCTGGGCACAGAGGAAAGGGGTTCTCATTGTCCAATTCCTTTGTCTTTCCGACTCCTCTTTAATTTCAGATGCTCATACTCAAATAACAAAACCTTTGTTTGAGCTTCCTGTCAGTTAAGATAAGACTTTGTAATAAGCCCTCATTCCTCCTGTGGAGTCTTTGAAGTAAAATAACACAGTCCTGGCTCTTTCTTTGTGCATTTTCAAACATGAAATAATCAGGAAGAGAATTATTTAAATGAACCATTCAGTCTTCCATTATACTTTCATGGAGTGATGCAAAACACAGGACCAATTCATAATCGTTAGCTGGATGCATATTACACATCTGTTGCATTTTGAAAAGTGGGACTTGGAAATGCTGCTTGTAAGTGCTAAAACTATAAAACATGCATATAAAACACACATAAAAGGAGCGGTGCTATATTATTCTCTTATTTCCATATTCCTGTCCCTCTCTAGATAAGTAGGAAATGTCAGTTCATGTCTTCCAACAAGTGTGGCACCCTGAGAACTCTGCTGCTGATGTGAGCCCATTTGGCTGGAACCAAAATGGGATGAACAGCTTAGATGCCCAAGCACAAGTGAAGTGGTTTGCTTATTCATGACTAGATTTTATATGTAGGGGATTAAAAGGGCTGCTCTGCACATAAAGCATCACCATTGCCTTTTCTTTGGGTGTGTGCATTGCAGCATGAAGAAATTTTATTTATTTATTTTGGCCTCCTTTTTCTTTGAGGTCAAGATGAAATCTAGCTCAGGGTCATTGGTGACATTTGCGCTGCTTTGATGCTCCTACTAAGGAGAAATTTCCAGGGCAACAGATAAAAATACTTCCTATAATAACTTACATAGTCACTACCCTTTGGTAGAGTGCACAGTGTGATGCACAAGTGGAGTTTGTATTTGCCCTACAACCCAGTATTCTTTTTAAGCTTAAGGTGCTTTGCTAAGAGGCTGCAGTGTTGTTAGGAGAAGGGGTAGAGCTGCAGGTGATTGTGTATGCTGACAGAAACAGAACATTTGAATGCAACACTACCTTCTGTGAAGGAGAAAAAATAAAAGGATGAGAGGGGGAAGAGGGAAATAAGCTGCTTTAATACTTCATCCAAGGAGTGGGCAGGTGTGTCAAGGCTGGAGTGGCTGGCTTTTTTTTTCATGGCTGAATGTAAATGTACTCACTATCATCCTATCATCTGAATCAGAAATCTTTGGGAGTATGTGAAGTGGGATTAGCATGGAGTTAATTTTTCATACACTCAGTTGTAGATCTTCCTCTCCTGTTTGTTACATGGTGGTGTTGCTTTTAGGGTAGAGTATCAAGGCATGTTTTCCTGTAGGCTTGGGATGGATGGATGTATGTCCCCAGCTACATGATGACTTTGTGTCTCTGTGGGCATCTTCATGTGTAGCACCTACACTTCAGTAAAGAAATACTGGTTTTGTAGCTCCAAAGAGTTTTCTCAGTCTTAGCAATAGAATCATGTCTTAGGCATCCAGTTTGGGAATAATGAGGATAAATCATAAATGGCTCTGAGAATTTCCTTTGTATAATTTATTAGGGTAGACACAAAGATGCAGAAGCGTCCTTTTGATAGTGGGATGTGGATTTGAAAATGGAGGCTGAGGTTTGGTTGGCGGTTGGTTTTCCCAGTATAGCACATGTTCCTGTGGTGGGAGATCCCCTTTCGGGCTAATTCAGTCAGCCTTTTGATGTGATAGATTGCTAGTTGGTGCATACCAACAATTCTGTAGGAACCACAATAAGGGAGTTGTTGCAGTTTTTAATCTGTCACCAGGATGGCAAAGGTAGCTGAAGATCTGTTTCCACTGCATTTTATTTAGTATCTTTATCTGCCATGAGACAGAAAGGAAGGTAGTGTGTGGTGTGGGAGGAGAATTAAAAACTCAGTTCAGACTAAGCTAGGCTCCTGTAAAGAAGTGCAGTGCTTCTTGCTTTGTGAACCTTGGCATAATGTGCTGTGGAGTCGGCAGAGCAGTTGCTGTACTTCTGCTCCCTCATAGAGCCATAGAATAGTCAGGGTTGGCAAGGACCTTAAGATCATCCAATTCTAACCCCCCTGCCATGGGCAGGGACACCTCACATTAACCATGTCACCCAAGGCTTTGTCCAGCCTGGCCTTGAACACTGCCAGGGATGGAACATTCACAACTTCCTTGGGCAACCCATTCAAGTGCCTCACCACCCTCGCAGTAAAGAGCTCCTTCCTTATATCTAACCTAAACTTCCCCTGTTAAGTTTGAACCCATTACCCCTTGTGCTACTGCTACAGTCACTAATGAAGAAGCCCTCCCCCAGCCTCCTTGTGGGCCCGTGTGCATTACAGATGTCTCAATGTAGGTTGTCTTCTTCTTGGTCACCTCAGAGGTAGCTTCCAGGAAGAGATAACAGATAATGTCGTGATGAAGGATCAGGTTGGTGCAGTCAGCTGGCTTGAGGCAAATTCACCAGACTTCTAGGGAGGGGAGCACATACCTGACCAGAATCCAGGCAGTTACCTCAGCCCGTAGGTACCTTGAACCATTTGGCTTGCTGATATAAAGAGTTGCCACAATTTTTGCAAAGGCTCTAGTACAAAGATGCACACTTTGACTTGGGATGTCTTCTCCAGCTCCCTAAGTCTGTTCATACCCTGGCTGGACAGAAGTCATTTGTTTCTAATGACAGATGAGATACATAAAAAGCGAAAGTACAAGCTGCAGCCATGTTGACTGGAGCATCCAAAACAATGGAACTCAGTCTAATAATTAACAAAAGCATTAATGAAAGTCATTAACAGAAGCACCAGTGACATTTGCATTGTCTTAACAGGTTTTGTTGCTCCATGATGCAGTCTGCCTCCCAGAAGGATGCTTCTCCCTGCGCTGTCAGAGGTGTCAGGACAGTAGATCGTGTATGTTTGCTCTGTATGTGTCCATGCAAACTAGTGTTTCTACTGCCAGGTGGTTTACTTGGTGATATGATTCATCTCATGTTTGCATACCTGCTGCTTCCAGGGAAGCAGTGCATGCTCATGGTAATAATGAGGTCTTGCTTAAAAATAGACCAGCTTCCTTCATTTTCTTGTCCTTCTGTTTGCCCAAGGACTTGTCGGGTGCTGCCAGCACGAATGTTTGTCCCTGTTGCTGTGCAAGCTGTTCACCTCTTCCTTCCTCCCGTACGTGTTTGTTGTCTTCAGTGAAGCAGTTCCCTGCTCTCTTCTTCCCTGGTTGAGGTAGGAGAGCTTGCAGTGTTGAGGCTATGGGATCATTTAGAGAGGTGGGGAAGAGTCCACACTGGTTCTGGAGTTAAAATAGAAAATTAGCATCTCCCTAGGACAAGAAGCTCATTGTGCTGTGTGTCTTCCCCTTCCACTCCCATGCCAGATGAAGTCCAACCTGTAGAACTACTTCTGAAAAGTTACGATGTTATAATTACCTCCCTGCTTCACTTCAGGCCCACAGGCCCTGTTCTTGTCTCTGTGCTTTTTACGGTGGCTTTTCCTACAAATTAATCTGTGACCTTCTCTCCATTCAGGTTACTTTTTTTGGACAGGGTGGAGAAGGAAAGGAAGATGGGTTGTTTCCAGAGGAGCTCTGGGTTGTGACCTGACAGTGCTTCCTGTGAAATGTTTGGACTCGGAGTACTTAGATATGCTTAAATCTTTCTATTTGCTTTTTTCCCCTCAGAATTTGCTTGTGTTGTTGTTTCCACCTGGTCGCATGTGAAAATGAGTATGTTTTCTAACCTAATGAAGCCATTGAAAAATGATGCAACCTTTGCAGCAGCCATCCCAGCACACAGCACACAGGCTTTGTGGAAACCACTTCAGAACTAACAGCGGTGGCAATTGTATGTGTGTGTAGGAGGGGAGGAGAGCACGTTTTCATCTGCAGCATGGCAATGTCGTGGGGTGGAAGAGGTCTGGCTTTATACAATCAACCTCTGCAATTGTGAAATTCTCCTCTCCTGCAGCATTTATTACTATGTAAAATTGAAATCTGCATGATTCCCTGCTGTGATGCCTGTGCCCAGGGACTGGTTTCTATAGTAACTAATACCAAGGAGCGTGCTGGGGCTGTGCTCCAGAGCTATGTGAGTGTATTTCGCAGTTCCATGCAATCCTGTATGAGTATTTGATTGATGACAAACAAGCAGTCGGAGGGTTTTGGCTGCCGTTGCTACAGTAGTAGCACTGTGTGCCTCGGCATGTACACTGAGGTCTAAAAATAGGCATCTTGCAAAATGGAGGTGGAGGTTTGTGTGGTGCCTTCCCCCTTACACACTCTTTCCCCTCTCACTGAGGGAGATCTGCTGAATGAAAATGCTAAAGAGTACACCCATGAGTGTTTGTTCTGGAGTCACTTCAGCCCACCTCAGAGTGAATTGTAGGAGCTGGGTCCATTTTGTCCCAGTTGCCGTTGCTGCTGTTCTGTTTTGAGGCAGAGCTGGTGTGTTGTTAATGCAGTTTCATCTGCAGGACCAGCTTCTGCCCTCAC